ATTTTTCGTGTATTTCCTCCAGAATAGTACGTTTAAATCGTGGGAAATACCACTGATTCCCATATGGTTCGTGATTTTTTCATTATTTCCTAAATTATGGGCATCCTAGCCAGCATTTACCTTGGGCACGCTTTGTAAGTTCTCGTCAAAAGCCTGTAAAATTTACTTGAAGGTGAAATGGGAAGGCGCACATTATTACCTGAAAGTGTCAAAAGTTCCAGAGTGCGCCCGTAGGAAATGCTGATTAGGGTAAAGTGTTTTTGTATTCGATCCGCAGGAATATGAGCATAAAGATAGTGATATATGTGGTTTGTCTTATCGACTACGACCATAGTTTCGTTTTCGCTATTTGTCTGCTACCTACAACTTCTTGCTTATTAATTGTCGTGCTTAACTCTGTGACTCTATGCTTAGTGACACTTTGTATTTTACCCGCATCAATATTCTGTTTAAAGTGTTCCTTAGGATTATTATCTTATTTTTACCTAATTCATAATGCTGTTCATAATATCTTTCAGTCGTAAGTATCCAAACATCCTTTTATTAGGAGTGTGATTTACAGTATACGTATGTCATTGTTCGTAAATTGCTTTTCACGTTCTGAGGAATTTGTGTTTTGACTTGTCTGCCGAACAAACGTGAAAATTTCGCGGAAATTTCATTCCAGTACACTAACTCGGCCACCCGACAAGTCTTTGTAATTATTGTAATAACTCGTAAGGATTGGTCACTTCATCTATGCATGTATAAATTTAGGTTAATTCATCCGTAGAGTGAGCTAGTAAAGACTTTCAGAGTCTTTGCAAATGTCGTCACACTAGTTGAATGCAAATACAAGCCTCTTCTTATCAAGCTTTTGGGGATACTTGTGGAAAAGAGCAGACTAATTTTTTTTTTTAATACTCTTACCACTGTAATGCTGTGGTTCGTTTTTCATTTTCCTGGTTTTAAACACTTTTGTGTATTTATTTTTAAATAAACTGATTTTAAGACGGCTTGTAGTTTAATACGCTGCTGTACTTGGTTTCAGTGGTCAGCAAAAATTACATTTGCCAGTTTCAGCTCGAAGAGGATATGCGGTATACTAGCTGCAAGAAAAAGTTCTACCAATCCCTACTAGCTTAGTGCCAGCAACCTATAAACTACGTAGTAGTCTGATTTCACTTTGGTTTTCTAACGTTTTTGTGAAACAACGGGTTTTCTCGTACTAGAAGCTGTCGACTCTAAGTCGTACAAAAATTCCACGTAATAAATATCAGTTTTATTCCGTTCCTTGGATGCTTTGTTACTTATTATGTGGGTAGCCGTTGCTTTCTAAAGCCTATGTAGACCCTTGAAGTAGTTAACTGGTGCATTTAATGAAAGATGTCCTTAAATGGTTTCTAGCCTATGTACCTTTTGCGTGGAACTATATCATAAAAGAAATCCCCAATATTGACACGCCGTGGTGTAGTCAATGTTGAAATAGTGGATGCTGCTGATGAATAATTTGCATTGAAAAACTGAAAGGACTTCATTTTTGTCTTGAAAAACACTACAGTGATTCAAACTTGTCGCGTGAGTTTATTTCAAACATCTACAAAGCCGTGATTCTGTTGTTAAAATTCCCAATTGTTTATTCCCACATGCACATGTGTTGGAGATTATAACGTTTCTTATATCCTGTGCTTATCGCCTACTTGCATTTTTATGATGAGTAACTAAAAGCAATTTATTCGTTTTCCATACTAATCGTCTACATAGTATACGATGGTCATCTTGCCATCTTTATCTGTGAAGACCTAGTCTACTTTCAAGACAGCCTTTCACACACCACATATATGGGTATATGTGTAGTGGACCCAAAGGAATGTCAAGTAAACTAAAATGTTACGCTACGTATAATTGACAAAAGTAGATTCACTGATACCCAAATATGAAGAGTCATGCGTCATAACACAAAATAGTAATATCATTGTTATGGATTGTAATGGGTTACTTGAATGTTTTCTCTTCAGTATATCACCATCCATCAACGTAGGAACAGGCATTAGTGCATAACGATCCGAGTTGCCACACCTCATACCAGCACATCAAGTAAAAAGGCAGTGAAATGGGAGATGAAGAAAAGAAGATTCAGTCAAAAGAAGTATAAAGTACTGAAAGAGAGAAAGGAAGAATAAGAAGATGACGAAATTCAGTATGGCGTTAGGGTGAGGATAATGTTTGTATACATCGGCACCACTGACGTCGGTTCTCAACCATGATGCATCACTTAGAGTCTCCAACCACTGGTTTCTCTTGTCCGACGGACCCCAACCAACTAGTCTGCATCGCCCCACATGGCTCAAACCAACAGTCAAATAATTCATACATTGATGCCACATGTTTTAGTCTGGCTGAGAGCCTCGAACCTTTTTCCAGCCTGAACCTACTTTGGCTAACATTGTGTGACTAGGCAGACGGCGACTAAACATAGGTAACACGTCCCAGCCAGCCATCTCAGTCGATAAAGGTCCACAACCGTGTCATCTGGCTTGCCTCTTCTCCCTAAAACTCTACATCTGACTTCTGCATTACTTCCCGTGGTGACATCACGACATACGACTCATACTACGAAGGCAACGGTAGTCAGACACTTGAAGCATTCTCATGTCTTCCACCTTCATTGGCCATGTTTCACAGCCATACAGTAGAACAGAGCGGACTACTATGCAGTACACGTGACCCTTAATAGACAATTGGAATCTCTTCAGTGCTTTTCACCACGATTTAGTATATTCTAATGTTAGTTCAGAAGACAGTACTTGTTAACACTCCAGAGCCGACGTTGGTTGACTTGATTGTCGTGATATTTGGAGGTAGGATGAGAGGTCCTGTAAAATCCAAGAACAATCAATGAGTATTCACACCGGACAAGAGTAGAAGAATACTATATTTTCCAGTTTTAAAAGCCGAAACAAAGTGACACTGCCACAGCAAAAATACCAACTCTTAAGTTGTACAGATAACTAACATTTATTTTTACAAGAATTAGGAAGAATGTACAAAATGCGTAAAAAGTAATGTAAAGGTAACATTTTTTGATTTAAGTGGTATGTAGAGAATTTTGGGCAGTCTTCACATACGTAGTTATTTCGTTAGGACCTGATTGGTTTTGGCTGATAGCGCCGAATACCACTACACACCAAACATCAAATTCGTCTTCTAAAACGTAAGTAAATACTCTTTAAAGAATTGAGATTTTGAAGTTGGATTCTATCTCACTTCACGGTACTCTTTTTAAAAGTATTCTTGTTATGATATTGGCCATTCTTGTCATATCATTGTTTATCAATGATGGAGCCACCGTTTGTAGTCCTGAGTAACAAAGCGTTTGGGTGATAAATAGCAGTTTTAAAAGGTGCAACTCCGCAAACATATTCAGGTTTGCGAACTAAGCAGTGTACCACACCTATTGTGTAATTGCCCGTATTGTTACTTGGGTGCCCAAACCTCGGTAGACGGGGTGGGGTTCCACCCTGCCACTTACCGTTTGAAGGTCGGATACCCAGAGTCGTAACTCCACAGGTGTCAGTTACTTTATGGTTTTATTTATTTCTCATTTAAGCAGTTAAGATACGCATGTATTTAGTATTTTCTTAATCCAATGACTGTAAGAATCAGAGTAGTCTGAAGTATTTCAGATATGTTGAAGTAAAACAGCGACTACTTGCGTTGTGTAGATAATACTGTGTGACTCAACAACCATGTGCGAATTCATGAGACTAGGGAATGAGATGTGTGATTTGATGGTACTACCTGGTTGCCCAAACACTGATGGATGTGGTGAGGTTCGAACCCACGACTTGCTGGTTGAAAGGTAATTATCTAGACTAATGAGCCACTGCTCACTTCCCAATACGCTTGTTGAGAAGACGTATTAACTTAAACTCTATCACAGTGATAAGTGTTTTGAGTTGATATATGTCCAGTAGATCTTTATATTCCAACAAACTACAGACACTCATCAACAACTGCCTACGCTCGTTACTGAAGCTCAGGTGGCCAGGAAGAATAAGCAACAAGGAACTCTGGGAACAAACCAACCAAGAACCTATCGCTCAACAAATATGCAGAAGGAAGTGGAGATGAATTGGATTAGGCATACACTGAGAAGACCGACTGGGGACATCACGCGCCAGGTCAGTTGCTCGAGTGGAACCCAGTGGAGAAACGACGAGTTGGGCGTCCGTGGTGGAGGTGACATGGAGGAGATGGCATGAGGAGGAAATGAGAGCTTGTGGGCAGTCGTGGAGCCAGGTTCAAAAAATTTCAGAAAACAGAGTGCACTGGAGACCTGCTACTGAAGTTCTATGTCCCACTAAGAACCCAAGAAACAAATAATAAATAATAATAATGATAGATCCTTATATAAATAACTTCCATTGAAACTTCAGTCAGACGTCTTATTAACAATGGTTTATTAGACATAGAATATATTTGTATAAATCTTAGCGTAAATGAAATATAATGTTTTCGACGTTCGTCCCAAAAACCTGATCTCAGCTTAAGGTAAATAACGAGAATTACATTATCATAGATATACATATATGAGGTCGAATGCACTATGTATGGATGTATCTCATATTTATCGTCAGCTTTGAACTGTGAGCTCTGTATTTATGGAATTAGATGGTCACTGGTTAATGTTCATACAAACAACAGTAGATCTGTTAGATATCCATAATATGTAGAGTCTAACATTAGGATACTTTAAACCGATGAAAGTTTACACAAACTATGCTTCTATGTTCTCAGGTAAGTGAAGGGAAGCCAGTTTTGTTACATTGACCAGCAGTGTAATAACACTTTTTACATGGTTTTTTTTTATCTAAATGCAGCTATACATATTTTTTTTATCAATCTCACTAAACACTTGTTTCATTTCTTTAACTCAATTTTAGATCTGCTAAACAACAGTGTCCATTTTCAATGTAAAACAGATTATTAGTCAATTGGAATTGCAGTCTATATATGCAATGCCAACGCAACATATTGCTTTGGCATTATTTTTAGTCCTTTTGGCGATAGGAGCGATTATTATCATCAGTATATTGATTGTGGTTAAAAGGCGTATAGCTCGACGAAAAAGCCGTATAGGACGAACCACTTACACCCCATGTGGGCAAGGTTTACCAAAGGTAACTAAAATAAACATATTTTTAAAAGTGTAAACGCACTCAGTTAACTGTTTTACAAGTCTTTTAAAGAAGCGTTATATATTTTCAGGTAAATTACATCTTGCTCATATGAAAACTAGACTATGATTTTAAAAAAGTTTAATTTATCAATGGTTAAACAAGATTTAAAATCTACTACTGCATTACATAACTGACCGTGGTCTAGTTGGCCCAGTTATTTCCAATAAGATGAAGGATACCCATTCTCATATATACTACTGATGTCTTTTTCTTTACAGTAGTATGTTAGTTGGAGCCAGTTGTGTCATGATAGGTATATAGTTACCCTTCGATCAGATTTGTGTAGACAGCTTTTTATTGGACATACAACGAAGGAGGCTGACAATACATTTAGTTCTACTATTGTATCTCCCTTTACATCCAAATGCCGATGTAAAATGTTTGTAAAATATGATACCAATGACAGTCGTCATGGTAGGTTATAGAAGTTTCTTCGATGTACCATTCATGCACATAAATCAATAGCTTAAGATGATTGTTTTCTCGAATCAAAGAAAAATCTGTAACCGTAAAATTGTTATAGGCCAAAACGGATGGAAACGTAAAAAATGGACTAAGTTTAAGCCACTCGATAGATGACATAAAGGGACCAATCAAAAGCAAGCGAGTTATTGAAGTATGGAAAAGAATAAAATTTATAAAAGTGACCAGGCCCTTACCAACATTGTGTTCATCGAGAATTATCAGTTAGAGTCCTCCAAAAATAAGATTAGCCTTAAACACCTACAAAAAAGAGTTAGGATTTAACTCTTTGAGGTTTCGCTTATTAAGAAATAAAGCGAAACGCTAGATAGTGGGTTTTCAGTCCACTTAGAAGGTTATCATTTAGAGAATGTGAGTTAGGATTATGGTTTGGCACAGGAATGGACACTTAATAGACTAATGATATAAATTATTATTTCCTAATCCTCGATTTCATCGACTTCAGAAAATGAAAAGTTCATATAAAATCTTATAGACTTGATAATTAGTGTGAAACTGTCATATAAAACCTAATTTGTCCTCATTGTATTATTATTATTTGTCTCTTGGATTTCTAGTGGAACATAGGGCTTCAGTAGCACGTCTCCATTCTACTCTGTCCTCTCCAGTCTTTTCAACCTGGCTCCATGACTCCCCACAAGCTCTCATTTCCTCCTCACACCATCTCCTCCATGTCACCCCCACCACGGACGCCCAACTCGTCGTTTCTCCACTGGGTTCCACTCGAGCAACTGACCTGGCGCGTGATGTCCCCAGTCGGTCTTCTCAGTGTATGCTTAATCCAATCCATCTCCACTTTCTTCTACTGCATATTTGTTGGGCGATAGATTCTTGATTGGTTCGTCCCCAGAGTTCCTTGTCACTTATTCTTTCTGGTCATTTAATCTTCAGTATCGAGCCAGAGTAAGCAGCTGTTGATGAGTGTCTGTAGTTTGTTGGAAGTGCTTTTCGCTGCCCTCCCTCTTCTGACAACTTGTTGGTTTCCGCATGTAGATCTTCAAGCTTGTGCGACAAGACTTTAGAAATAAATCATCATCATCGGCGAAATCCAAATCTACTTCTGGGGTCTTTTCATTGGTCCAGCCAGCGTATGCCTATCTCGCTCCTCATGGTTTGCTGCATGATCCAGTCCAGTCCAGTTGACCACAATCAGGAAGATCATCGGTGATAGTAGGTGACAGCCTTGTCTTACTACTGTCTTCACTTCAAAGGTGTCACTACGCTTTTTATTGTGAATCACCTGGCATGTCGCGTCGTCATATAGCACATAGCTGTTGAATGAGGTTGATAAAGGTTCATGGCACTAAAACCGTAGTGTTGAAGCAGCTGCCGAATTACTTCCCGGTCGACGCTGTCGAAGGCCTTTTCAAAGTGGATGAAGTTGAGGTAGAGTTGAGTTGACTGCCATTCTGTGCTCTGTTCATTGATGATGTGTAGGGTTGCAATTTGGTCCGCACATGATTTGTTCGTCCTGAAGCCAGCTAGCCAGCCAGCCTGTTCCGGTCGTCATTTTGAATCCAGCGCATCTTTTAGTTTCTCCTGGATGATGCGGCTTAATATTTTGCTTGCTTTGGGTGGAGAGCACCGTGATTCCTAGCCAGTTCTGAAAAAGACTTGGGTCTCCCTGCTTTGGGAGTTTGACAAGGTACCCTTTCTTCCAATCTGCAGGCACCTTCCCTTCATTCCAAACCACCTTCTGTAATAGTGTTGTGAGCATGTCCTCTGTTGTCTCTGCGTCTATTTCCAGTGCTTCTGGCGGGATTCCATCTGGTCCTGCTGCTTTCCCCGATTTCAGCAACTTTATGCCGCTCAGTACTTCACTTCTGCCTTTGTCGGATGGTGTGTGTTCACTGATAGTTCTGTGACTGGGCTGCTGGTGGTATTTGTGGACGAGTTGCAGGTGATGGTGGTGGTGGATTCAAGAGTTTTTTTTGAAGTGTTCAGCCCATTGTTTCCTTTGTATCTCCTCTTTGATAACTAGGTTTCCTTCACTATCTCTCATTACTTTCGTTTGAGTTGATCTCTTCCCTTCCAGACAGCAAGTAACCTGGTTATTTGATATAATGTTGTCAGGTCACTGAGTCTCCCACCTGCAGCCTGTTCTGTTTCACTTGCAAGTGTGTTGCAGAAGTGTCTTGTCTTTGCAGGCACTTTTCTTCATTGTTCTCATTGTGGCAAGTGTATACTTGAATAGGCTTAGTAGCGTAGAAAACAACTACACGGTGACGCAGGAAGGAATGTTTATTATTAACATTTTGAACAGCAGTCATCAAATATTGTACACCTCCCACTAACACAGTCATTTACACAATGTACTTCATTTCCTCTTCTACTTCTATCTTGATTTGCTCTTAATATACCAACATAGTCTGTTGTGTTGCTGTGGGCAGAATCTTTACCCATTGGTGGTAGTTGCCCATGTTTTCTACAGCCCTATCATCATATAATACTTTTATCCATTCTGATCGGCAGCGCCCACTATAGTAGCTGCCGTGAGTAGTTCAAAGTCACCCACTGGATTATTCAAACTTGATGCAGTTTTTTGTCTCGACCACAAAACATATAAAAATTGGAATTCTTTTACTGTAAAGAGTGAAGTCACTACGATAGATATCTTCGCTAATCTTTTTTTTTATCTTTTCCACATATTGAAAAATTTAACAAGGCGGGCGTAAGTTTCAGTAGGTCGGAATTAGTTCACTCCTATGTTTTCACTTTGAGCATCGAAGGCCCTCATGCAGTGGGAACCAATCTCCTCCAGGACCATGACAGCAAGATTCAACTCAAAAGAAAGGAAGGAAGGTCACAATCATACAATGCTACGCACCTACAAATAATGCAGAGCAAGAGAAGAAGGAAGAATTATACAGACAACTGCAATCAACCTCAGTCGGCGATATCAAAATTCTAATGGGCGACATGAATGCCAAACTGGGAGGGGACAACACAGGAAGAGAACTAACCATGGGTCGAGAAGCGCTCGGTGAGGTGATGAACGAGAATGGAGAATTGTTTGCAGAATTCTGTGTATCCAACGGTTTGGTGGTTGGAGGCAGTGTGTTCAAGCACAAGGATATCCACAAAGCGACATGGATTTCACCAGACACCAGGACACACTAAAAATCAAATCGACTTTATCTCAATCTCGAGAAAATGGAGACGCAGTCTACTTCACACAAGGTCAAGAAGAGGAGCAGATGTAGGTTCACACCACTCACTATCTAGTACAAGGACCTTACCTTCCAAATCAAGTTAAAAGCCTTCAAGGAAGCTGGTGATAGACCGCAGTTCAAGTACAACACTCGGAAACTGAAGGATGAAACTAGAAAGGAAATCTTCACGGCAGCCAGCCATCAAGACAAAATGGGAGATATCGAGGAACATCCGTGAAGAAAACTGTGTGGAAGAACACTGGAAGTCTTTGGAAGAGATGTGGAAAAAAACCTGCACAGCCGTATTAGGAAGGAAGAAGAAAGAAGATAAGGAATGGATCTCAATGGATATATGGAAGCTGATAGAGAAGGATGGTGAAGCAGAAGATAAACCAGTGCAAGTATGCTCAACGACAAAAGGAACTGAGTATAATATATAAAACACTGGACAAGGAAGTGAAGAAGAGTGCACACAAAGACAAAAGACACTTCTACGACACATTGGCAAGTGAAGCAGAACAGTCTGCAGGTAAGAGAGACCTGACGACATTGTATCAAATAACCAGGTTGCTATCTGGGAAGAGATCAACGCAGACGAAAGTAATAAAAGCTGATGACGGAAATTTAATTACGAAAGAAGAGAAACAAAGGAAACAATGGGCCGACTACTTCGAGCAGCTCTTGAATCGACTACCACCTGCACTTCGTCCAGAAATACCACCCACAGCCGCTGAACTACAAGTGAACATAAATCCTGCAACAAAAATGGAAGTCCTGAGCGCCATAAAGCTACTAAAATGCGGGAAGGCAGCGGGACCAGATGGAATTCCGCCAAAAGCACTACTATTGCAGAAGGTCTGGATGGAGGGAGAGGTACCTGGCGATTGGAAGAAGGGTTACCTTGTCAAACTGCCGAAGAAGGGAGACCTCAGTGTTTGCAAGAACTGGCACGGAATCACTCTCCCGTCCACCTAAAGCAAGCAAAATATTAAGCCGCATCATCCTGGAGAGACTGAAGGATGCACTGGATTCAAAACTACGACCAGAACAGGCAGGCTTCAGGAAGTACAAATCATGTGCGGACCAAATTGCAACGCCACACTGCGCATCATCATAGAACAGAGTATAGAATGGCAGTCAACTCTTTACCTCAACTTTATCGACTTTGAGAAGGCTTTTGACAGCGTCGACCGAGAGGCAATTTGGAAACTGCTTCAATACTACGGAATATCACAAACCTTTATCAATCTCATTCAACAACTATATGAAGACGCCATATGCTAGCCAAGTAATTCACAATGGGAAGCTCAGTGATGCTTTTGAAGTGAAGACAGAAGTGAAACAAGGTTGCCTACTTATCCCCCATGATATTCCTGATTGTGGTCGTCTGGATCATGCAGCGAACAGTGGGGAGCGAGAAGAGGGGAATACGCTGGCTGGACTGTGGAAAAGAACCTAGGAGACTTGGATTTCGCCGGTGATTTGTGTCTGATATCACACAAACTTGAAGATCTACAGGCGAAAACTAACAAGTTGGCAGAAGAGGCGAGGCAGCGAAGGAAGACGGGACTTCAGGTGAATACAGAGAAGACAGAGGTGATGAAGATACCCCACCACCACCACCACCAACAACAAACTTCAATCACCATCAACGAGAGAAACCTAAAGGAAGTAGCCTGGTTCACCTATCTAGGCTGCACTGTTTCACCTACAGGCGGCACAGACGAGGATGACAAAGTCAGAATCGGGAAAGCAAGACAGGCATTCATTAGCCTGAAACCAGTGTGCAGATCTTCTGTACTCAGCATGTGGAACAAGATCTGGATTCTCAACACCAACGTCAAATCAGTGCTTCTGTATAGTTCAGAGACTTGGCGCGTCACGGAAAGCACTTCCAACAAACTACAGACACTCATCAACAGCTGCTTACTCTGGCTCGATACTGAAGATTAAATGACCAGAAAGAATAAGTGACAAGGAACTCTGGGGACGAACCAATCAAGAATCTATCGCCCAACAAATATGCAGTAGAAGAAAGTGGAGATGGATTGGATTAAGCATACACTGAGAAGACCGACTGGGGACATCACGCGCCAGGTCAGTTGCTCGAGTGGAACCCAGTGGAGAAACGACGAGTTGGGCGTCCGTGGTGGGGGTGACATGGAGGAGATGGTGTGAGGAGGAAATGAGAGCTTGTGGGGAGTCATGGAGCCAGGTTGAAAAGACTGGAGAGGACAGAGTAGAATGGAGACGTGCTACTGAAGCCCTGTGTTCCATTAGGAACCCAAGGGACTATTAGTAATAGTATGTTTTCACTTTAAAAGTTAGTGTTACTAATAGCGTAGTCCCACAGATATCAGTGCATACTTGAAATTAGTTAATTCCATTTGATTAACCCATTGGCATATCTGTCACGTTTTTCTACGGAAAAAGCATATAAGTAGAATCTAAGTGAAAGACAAGGTATTCAGTAATAGTAGTCAGATTCCATTAGATGTAAACAATATGAATGTCAAAGAGTGTTTTTAAACATGCTTGGTTGCCAATCTTCTGCTCCACCAAGTTCTACAACCCAATTATTTTCATCTCCTGGCACAGACTGATGTCTAAAACTGTGTGTTCTGTCGTCTTGCCTTAACCGTCCCACCTTCCTTCCCTATCAAGCGTTTCTATTTACAAAAAAAGTCGTTTTCATGTTTAATCAGAATGTCGATTGACTAAATCATTTAAGAACTATTTACCTTCTTTCTTCGAATGATCTGCTTCCTCGTCCTTAGCTAAAGGTGATGATTAGACTGTCAGTGAAAGGTCTCACCTAAGCAATACTAACTTAGAAAATACTTTCCCTTTCAATAATTTTGATTCTCTTTTGTTTTGGGTCGTGGAAATAACTTGTTACGATGCTGAGTTGTGAGAACGAATGATAATACTTAACGATTAGTAGTCGAGGGTTAAGACGCGTCAATGTGAGTGAGTGATTTTCGAGAGAAATTAAAAAAAGACTGGTAATTAACTGAAAACGCTTATTAGTAAAAGGGCATATTATTTATAGTAATCATAATAACCTTGAAAGATAAGGGATAATTAGTACATTAAAACAGACATGAGTCAATCAGAACACTGGCAAGTAATGTGAAATGTAATACACGTGCGACAAAAAGCGCGTAACACATACAGTTTAAAAGTACAATTGGTAAGTATGATATATCAGGGGATATGGACATCTCTAACATAATCCTTTGTTCTATTTTATGGATATATTATTGTAATAGATTTTTGAAAATCTTGTTTTAATGTCCGAAGTTAAAAGTACTTGAAATTATTTCTTATCATAGGTATGGAAATCGAATATTGAGAAGAAAATCAACGCAACCATAAAAGTACGAACTGAACCTCAAGTGTTTGGTCCACACTATGTAGAGAATTACAATATGTACATCTCTAATGGTATGTATCATCAGGCTTGTAAATAATCATCTACATTTAAAAAAATTTTCTAGGTGAAGTGACTTTTCTGCATCGTGCTAAAACACTCGATCAATTCCTGGTGTTAAGTAAGTCTCTGTATATTTCGTTCAAATTTCAATAGAACAGGCTATTCTATCAGTCGATCCAACATTAGAAGCTCCACCACTAAGGGATATACGTGATTTTTTACTAACAGCACGTCATCATGTTATGAATCCACCACCATCTCGTGATCGTATTGAAGAATATTGTCAATTGTATTTATGGGCAAGACATGACTTAAATGTATGTTTCCCTTATATTATAGTGAACAGTAATAATATTGTTTTTCCCTTCAAAATTGTTAATTTTAAGAAGAGGAGAAAAAAACAACCAAAATTCACTTTTTTTCTTGTTTTGTCAGCCTTTTGGCGAGTCAGAATATACACGATTTTGTGAATTACAATCCATTTTATTAGAAATGTAAGTTAGTTTTTACCTGGCACAAATATGATTCGTCAATGGTTTTTGAATTAATCAATTACACTTTTCAGACGATTAAAAATTCGCATTTTATGTATTAAAAGTCAAATATGAATGAAGAATATTCTTTCCAATAACTCCTCATTAGGTTCTACAGTTATAGGGGCGCACTATTAGACACGTTCGTCTCAGGATACGAGAGCATCTACCGGCATGGTTTTGTAAAGGGTAAGATCAAATCCATCCTCGCCTGGTTAACTAGTTCACTAGTTACTCTAGCCGGTCCTAAGCCCGCGTATAGAGGGAAGGTTGGACATAAGCCTAGCAACCCTACCACTAACCCTACCCCTACCCCCACCCCGGAAAACCAATACAATCCCTAAAGAAACTTCAAACCACAAAGAAATTATAAAAAATAAAAACAAACTTATTCCTCGCCGGAATCAGAGAGAAGAAATGACGCCAGTTGGTGAAAGCCTTCACGAAGCCAGTCGACCGATGTGTCTTCGCCTCTCTCGATGAAAGTGAAAGTAAGAATGGGATATGGAATGTCCGCACCATGTATGAACCTACAAAGGCTGCCCAGATTGCCAAGGGGATGAGAAGGAGTAACACAGAAGTGCTTGGAATCTGTGAAAGCAGATGGAATGGAAGTGGACGCTCCAAACTGTCAACTGGAGAGTCAATAATCCACTCCGATATTGTCACCCAGACGACAACCATGACACACTGTCATGATGTCTCCAAGATCATCGAAGGCTGTCTCTCATGAAGTGGGAACCAGTCTCATCCATGATTGGGATCATGACAGCAGGATTCAACTCAAAGTGAAGGAAAGTCACAATCATACAATGCTGCTGTATGCACTTACACTACAAATGATGGAGATGAAGAGAAGAAGGAGGAATTATACAGACAACTCCAATCAGTGGTGGAGAAGACCCCACCCCGATTGGCGACATCAAACTTCTAATAGACGATATGAATGCCAAACTGGGAGCGGACAGCACAGGAAGAGAACTCATGGTGGGTAGAGAAGCACTCGGTGAAATGAAGGGGAATGGAGAACTGTTTTCAGACTTCTGCGCATTCAGCGACTTGGTGATTGGAGTCAGGCAGTGTGTACAACACAAGGATATTCACAGAGCGTCATGGACTTGACCAGATGGACACACACAGGCGGCACAGATGAGGATGTCAAAACCAGGATGGGGAAAACAAGACAGGCTTTCATTAATCTGAAATCACTGTGAAGATCTAGTGCGCTCAGCACAAAGAACAAGATCCGAATTTTTAACACCAATGTCAAGTCACTGCTTCTGCATAGTTCAGAGACTTGGCGCGTCACGGAAAGCACTTCCAACAAACTACAGACACTCATCAACAGCTGCTTACTCTGGCTCGATACTGAAGATTAAATGACCAGAAAGAATAAGTGACAAGGAACTCTGGGGACGAACCAATCAAGAATCTATCGCCCAACAAATATGCAGTAGAAGAAAGTGGAGATGGATTGGATTAAGCATACAGTGAGAAGGCCGACTGGGGACATCACGCGCCAGGTCAGTTGCTCGAGTGGAACCCAGTGGAGAAACGACGAGTTGGGCGTCCGTGGTGGGGGTGACATGGAGGAGATGGTGTGAGGAGGAAATGAGAGCTTGTGGGGAGTCATGGAGCCAGGTTGAAAAGACTGGAGAGGACAGGGTGGAATGGAGACGTGCTACTGAAGCCCTATGTTCCACTAGTAACCCAAGGAAAAAATAATAATAAGATCAAATCCATTAGTTTTATACAAGCACATCTAATAGACACAGGAAACCAAATACATACTGGCGTAGCTTTCATTGTGATGCATCACGTTCAGAGGACTCTACCATACGCCATTCGTTTACGCATTCTCCACATACCGGAAGCTTTAGCTATAAGATCAACTGAGCCTGGACTTTATATTGAAAATAAGACATCCAAGCCCTACTCCTCCCTTGGCCTTCTATTGACTAGACGGTATTCCCTCAACCTTTTGTTCCCACTTTCCTCTTTTCTTTCTTTTTAAAACGAAATTATTGTCATTGGTAATGCTACTATTTTTAACCAAACATTCCTGCCATCTTATTATGATAAACCTTTAAAATTCTTGTTAACATCTTTCACAGTATTACTGCCCTCATTATCTTAGTCGTTTCACATGTTGTTCATCATTTTGACTATCTGAGATAGCCGTAGTTTGGCAGACCGGTTTTTATACTGGGGGTGTTAATTCAAGGTAAAATGAAAATTTCGACCGTGGACGGATTCAAACCACACTAACCATCTTATGATGATATATCCACTCGATTCTGCTCTTAGGTAAATTCATGTCATTCTTTTGCACTAGTCACTCATTCGACACAATGCAATCTTGAACTTTGATTGCTACATTAGTATCTGTTCTGCATTCGGAAATTAACTCAAAATCGAGCGTAATTTCGATGGTGGCAGTTCAGTCAGCCAGCGCAGAAATCCAAAATACCATACAGCTGTCCTAGGAATGGTAATGTGGTGTATTTTTGAGCATTTACAAATCCATTTCCAACTGGTAGAACGTTTTTTGCTTGTTTTGTTCTTACCTTGAGAAACGAAAGTTCGAAAATATTTTAAAAATATGCAAGATTACATGATGAGTTCAGAAGATATTTAAAAGATTAAAACAAACTGAAAAGGGAAGAATTTGATGGAATTTAGTCGACAGAGAATTTTCTGGTGGCCCAAGATTTAAGCAGACCACCTTTTCACCACTCAGTTGACAAAGTTTACACTCGACTTATCACCACAATTGACATGCATAATATATAAATTACATAAAGAATTGTGTGTCAAATGTGTCCTCTCAGTGGTTTATTAAAATGTAGATTTACATTCTAAAGAGAAGGATTTCAAGTCCCCTGAAGAGAACGTTTCTTACATCAACTCTCAGAGTGGCGTTCACTAGTCACCGTTTTACTTAGCGAAAACCTAAAAGGCAAGATCCTGGATGTGGCCGCCTCGATTTGTGTATATCAGTTCACCTGCTCCTGTGAAGCTGGGTACACTGGTCATTCAACGAGGGTCCTGTCCAGAAGGGTTCAAGAACACTATCCTGAGTCGCTGAAAATAGGTAACAGTGGATCTGTGAGAAATGCCGTAACGGAACACTTAGTGGATACTGGTAATTCAATGTCAACGACCACCTCTTTCAAAGAGAAAAAGAATTGCCAAATTCACCGCGCATCCGCCTCCCTTTCATATTGCTGAAGCTTTAGCGATTCAGATAAAGAATCCGGAGCTTTGCATACAACAGAAGCTTGTTCAACCCTTGCTCCTTTCGTGGTCTTGATCTTTAGTTTTTCTAACCATGCCCCTCCCCTCCCCACCTTTCTAATTCTTTCTTTCCGCTCATTTTGAGTGACTTTAAAGGCCACCCTAGAAACTCTGAGATAATTGATTTAAGCTTCAATATTTTATGGAAAAGTATCTTTCTAGCGGAAATACCGAGACCGGATTGGTTATTACAGTAGTTGCCAGGGCGGCCTTTAAAGTCACCCCTCATTCTTACCATACTATGATCTACTCGTTGTTTCTATGTCCAACATGATAACAACTCATGCCATGTTTCTCAACTTGTTTAATTTTAATCACCGGCTTGCGTATTACTATACCTTATGATTACTTTTCAATATTGAAAAAGACCATTTTAACAGCGATGGCAATAAGCAATTAGGTTTTTTTCATTTGGCTGGAAAGGCAGATTTTCATAAAACAGGAGTTTAATTGGTCATTTTAGTTGTTGCTAGGGTGGCCTTTGAAGTCACTCAAATAAAGGGATGTAATTGGCTATCTTATCGGTCGCCAGGGTGACCTTTAAAGTGATCCCAAATCACATTGTTTCTAAGCCTAACGAACTACTTCTACACATAAAACAACAACTTGTGCATTTTATATTAATTATGAATGGTGGCTAGCAGTGAAATCTGGGATTCACATCGTCCTATTTGGCGTAACTTAAAGCCACCCTAGCAACAGCTGAAATAACCAATCAGACTACTCTTTAATGAAAACTGCCTTTCCAATCGAAGTAGAGCAACCTAATTGGTTATTTCTATCGTTGCTTGGGTGACCTTTAAAGTTGTCCTCCTATTTAAGGCTCGTCAGTTGTGGATACACCTTTCTTCCAGTGACCGATGTTATTTCTACTAAAACTGGGACGCGGGAACGATCGTTTCAAACGCCAAGTCATTATCCACTAGGTCATTGAGTCACCATAGTCACTTTTTATGCACCTGGTATAATTCTTATGTTGTTATTTATACATTTTCACCAAAAAGAAAATTGTATATAAATGTGCTTTTACACCTAGGTGAATGAATTCGCCGAAAATAGTCTCTTCTTCGTTAAAGTATACTTTCTTTCTTCATTTTCTTGTGTATCTTTAATGGGAATTTTTCGAGATGAAATGAAAAAAGCACCAATTTGAGGGAAGAATATTCTTTTCAGTAAATGTTTTGTCTTCAGGTTCTACGATTGTAAAATACATTTGTTAAGGTCGAATACATTTTTAAAATGAAAGGAGATTTATGGACTGTGGGGAAATCGAGTTTTCTGTTTTAAAATTGTTAATATTATTAAGATGATAGAGATATATGACAAATGTGATGGTAAACGAGAAGATAGTAAATAAAAAAGATAGAAATAGCCTTAAGTTTACTGAAGGCTAAGGGAGGGATAACGCTGTTACATGATCTTTCTAAATGATCAATCTTATTACGACAGCTTCAGCTATGTTGGTGAACTACACATGGTATTGTTTTTGAAGTATGATGTATGCACCTTCAGAAAGGTCATGTTCCAGTAAACTAAAAACCACTTCTGTCTTTCTTATTCGTTTGTCTTTTTGTTCATCATCACATTCGTCATGTGTATATATCTGTCATTCTAATATTCACAAGTCTAAAAAAGTAAAATCGATCTCCTTACGGTGCGTAAAT